TCGCTCTCTCTCTCTCTCTCTCTCTCACACACACACACACACACACACACACACACACACACACACACACACACACCTCCCAAGTGTGACGTAGCAAAAGAATGTCTCTGCGTCAGCTGTTATCTTGACTGGCAAGCAAGCATATAGCAAACACCACAGTTAACTGAAATGAAATTATTAAATGAAGTAAGAAATGCTCAAAGTGTTTAAAAATGATATCCTTTTCATTTAATAAGAGAACAGAGGTTTTCAGGAGCCAGTTTGTTCCCCTGCTCCTCCCATTTTCCCTCATGTGGTCATGTAGCACCTAAACATTCAAGAGCATAGATTTTGCTGGGGAAAAGTGGGTAGTTAATAGGGGTCACACAAATCCTGTTACCCCTCTGTTCAGATTTAACCAGGTTGAAAAAGTTTCAAGAAATTAAGCATAGTTGAAACTGAATAAACACTTTAATGTAAAGTTAAAGTCATTGGCTATTTAACTCAACCAGTGCAAACATGACATAAGGGTGATGGAACAATGCATTTGGTTAAATCACAGGGCTGTTGCTTTCTTAATATGTGGTGTGAGTAACACTGTTGGGCTGATGGTGACATTTCTGACGTTTCTCGTGGGGTGTGGCCAGATGTTTCTGTAAGAAAAACTGGGTTTCCTTTTAAACAGTAGCAGTACAGGAGAAACAAGAGCAGTTCTGCTCCAGGTTATCTACATTTCAAAGCAGAGTTTTCCAGTGTCGCCAAGATCTGGTATTGACTGCTTAGATGACAACATGGAGCTTACTAGTGGATCATCCATAGAATATATGATGTTTATTTCCAATAATTAGCAGTTCAGAACTAATCTACTTCAGTACCACAATATTGCTTGTAACCCAGAAGCTAGGAAATGTTGATGGGCTGTGCAAATACATGACACCGTCCATTGTCCTTTTTTTTAAATTCTTGCTTTGTTAACATTAGCTAGAATGTTGTTGTCTCTACCTGCAGGGAAAATGAAGACAAGATATTCTTTTAATGATGTACAGTGTCTTTGTGAATTCAATGAAAAACTGTTTAAAAATATTCTAGGCTTTCCCCACTTGTTGCCCCTCTTTGCTTATCAGCTCTGAAGCAGCTAAAATGAATTGAGCACATTTTGATCCTCTCATAGATATAGTTGATACATCCAATTATGTAACTCCCACTTGCTATGTATCATAGTGAAGCAGGGAACCAAACTACTGTAGGAAGAAGCTAGAAAACAGGGACTTTCACCTGTTGATTTCTGATTATTTTCAGAAAGCTGTTAAAGGTCTGTGAGCTCTGTCCTTGCCCAAAAGAGTTAGCAATTTTTGTGAGAGTTGGATACCTATATCCAGTTTTACTTGTGTTTTGCACTGCTTATACTTGAAATATCTACAAGAGGAAATGCCAAATCTTCCTTAACATGTTGGGCTTTTGTTGAAGGCAAAAAGCTAGACCTGAAAAGTATTGTAACTTCTCAAAAAGCAAATTGGTAAATCAGGCCCAACGTGCTTCATATTTAATCATATTTAGAAATTTTAAGTGAGTAAGAAAACGTATGTGTATTCTCCTCGACTGCATTTTCTTAAAAAAGTAACAAATTAGTTAAAGTGCTTCTGCAAGACCCGTGTAATACTTCTTTGTTCACAAATTCGAGTTCTTCTTCCCAAATATCTAAGCCAAAGATCTTAATTCCCAATTCCGTGATGCTTTCCAAGGAAGATTATCCTAAATTTCCTGATGTATTCAGTTTCAGATTTAGTCCCTGTATTCCAATTAAGTATAGCGCTTTCCATAAATATGTTAATATTTCTTAACCTGACTTTTTTTTGCTTTATACTCCTATAAATTACTTGCTTCTTTGTGACTGCTACATGCATTTTTATGGGCTCTCTCCCAGTCCCAATGTGTTAATTTTGGTATATAGATATAATTTTTATGGTTTAGGGAACAGCAAATGTGATGGCATGGTTATATGCTTTGCAGTACTGATTTCATTTTGCTATGAAACAAATGACTAATGTGGTTCTATTTGGGCCCAATCTAGTAACATATATACCTGACTGCCAATAGAACATGTATAAAAAAAATCCAAAATATATTTGAACTTTCTGTTGATTTGTATCTAGCATAGCCATTTCCACCTGTGACAGGTGAGCAAAAACTAGTATATTTATAATTCTAGGTTTGCATTTATCCGTCTAAGCTCTGTCTTTTAGTTAAGATATCTTGTTAACTCAAATATTGGTAGAAAGCTATCCTGATCTGTATTCCAATAATACAAGAGCTATATGGTTATTGCTTCTGTATGAGGCTGTTCTCCTTTTATTTTGCGATTGTCACATGAATTCCATAGTGGAGCAATTCCAGTTATATGGTGTAGCTTGATGCAAAAGCGACCAGGCCCTTGAAGAGTTTTGTAGAAAAGTTGCAGGAGCCCTGTACCGTTCTAATTTGATCACTGACATGCCACATGGAGTATCCAAAACAAATCTGTAGAATTTTCATTCATCCAAATGAAAGAATAAAATTCAAGTGGCTTTCCTCTGCTAGTCTGGAACCCTGCTAGACTTCCTGTTTTTATATTTTGTGTTATTAACACTAAATTCTCCTATTTAATCTAGCAGTATTGCACTGAAAGTGTACTGACTTTTCTTTAAATCCAGGTATTTTCAAAGTGAAGTAATTTGACCTTGCTGGATACCAAAGTTGTACTACATAACGATTTAAAATAGCTTCATGTGTTCTGAATTGGAAATTTAAAAGAACACTGGGATATGTGGATGGAAAATATATAGGCTCAGATTTTTGCTCTTGATTTCTTTTCAGTAACCAGAGCCTGATGTATTAAGCCTACATGGGGAGAAAATGAAGTAGTGTAGTTATTATATTACTATGAGTCTTAAATGCTTTTCATTTGTATCTCCTCCCATGATATGTTACATTTCTTAATGTCTAAAATGTAGCTGTTTTATATTTCTGTGTACAGTTTTGGGGAAGAAAATTCATATCTTGGCAATATTCTTAGCTTTTCAACTTTGTTTTGATGTCGGGGAACTCAGATTTTCAGACCCACTGTTACTGTTTGTTTAATGTGGAATTTTAATGTTGTGAATATAAAGAGACTTATTTTTGTTATAATAAAAAAATTAAATTCTACACCTGCATTTGTTGGCCCTCTTTAAAATACTTAACTCAGCGTATTCAGTTATGCCGCAGTGTTGCCTAGCTGCACATATACTGCAAATAAGATGACTAATGGGGAAGAAAATTATGCAGATCTTATCACACTATTTTCATTTTTATCTCAAATAAATCCCCACACAGTGAAAAATACATAGGCCTATATCATCAAGCAAAATTTTAAAACTAGCTTTGAGGACACACATTGTAACATGTGTATTATCAGCTCTACTATATAGCATGGAATCATAGCCTTTACCGTAAGTCACTATTTTTAAAAAAAAATATAGAAGCATTTTAAATATAGGTGTACTGTATATATAGTATGCTATGAATTTCTTTGACTGAAAGGATGAGTATAAATTGCCTTCAGACCATAATAGGACTATTTCACCTTTTTTGTATAATTCAAGAATAACAGAATTTGTTTTTTTTTTTAAACTAGCTGAAATCCAGTAATAATTCACAAGCTGAGTAGCTCAGTTGAATCAGTGGAACTAGTGTTCACTCACCAAATACTCACTGACTCAATCAGACTGTGTTGTGTTAAGAAAAGATGGGAAGAACAGTGGATAAACACAACAGAGCTATCAACGGAAAACTCTGTCATCTGGATTCTGTCTATGAGTGAGACAAATTGATCATGTAACAGAAGCTTCACCTTGCATAAACTGACAGGGACTCCAGCATCATCTGTTCCCCCAAGTTCTTTGAAGGGTGGAAATGTTAAGATTGTAACTAGCAGGCATAACCATCAACCCCCATTTGTTTCCCTGTCATGGCACATGGTAGGGCAGCCAGGTGCAGAATAAGAAAGAACCCCTGTACTCTTTGTAGTAGTAGTAGAAGTAGTAGTAGTTTCAACATACACCGCTCTGTAGTGCTTGGTGTACTCTAGGTGGTTTACAACAGCGGTCCCCAACCTTTTTGGGACTGCGGACCGTTTGGGGGGGTGTGGGCTCTGTGTGCGGACCACTTTGGGGGCGGGGGCACCCACATGCTCACGGGTGGGTGTGTCATGCTCATGGAGTGGCGTGTCACGCTCATGTCTAAGATACAAGGGTGCTTTTGAGCAGAGATACCTGCTCAATAAAATGCTATGTACAAGAACTCTTAGTCAAGTTTCTTTATTAGACAAGGTAGCTCAGGGCCATGCTCAGGGAGGGACGCAAACCCTATTTTCATTGATAAGGGTGGGAAGGGTGGGAAGGAATGCATGGTTTGCCAATCATTAGCTCTGTGAATGGGATGAGTCATGAAGCTGAGGGGGCTGGGGAGACACTGACATGGATACAGGCTGGTGCCCTAATAATCAGGAGGTAGGGGGTGGGCAAGATATCACTGGGATGGATACAAGCTGGCCCCACCAATCATGAACCAAGAGGTGAGGGTGGGAGGGATTCAAATTCCCCCCTCCATCATGAACCAGGAGGTAAGGGGTAGGTGGATTGACAGTGGTAAGGATTCAAGCTGGCCCTCCAATCATAAGCCACAAATTTTGTATTGTAGAAGGGACCCAAGCTGCCCATTCATGAGTAAAAACAAAAGGGAGAGTCCAAGTGCAAACTCAACATTACCCAACCAGGAAGGAGAGCAGGAAGATGGACAGTGAAAGGGCCAGGCCTTGAAATGTGTAGAGTTGTGTAGAATTGTGTAGAGTTGTGTCAGATGGATAACAGACTTATAGGATCCCTGGAAAGCACAGCCTAAGAATTTTTGCCTGACGTATAACTTTAC